ACCAGCACAATGTGCATATTAATCACTTCATTTTTTTCAGTGTGAGAAAGTTAACATAAGGCAAAACATAATTTTAAAGACCCATAAAATGTATTAATCTGATTTGTGGTTTAAAAATTAGCAACATTTGCATGATTTGATAAATTTCGCATGACATACACATCTTGACTAGATGTCTATTACCAATGGTCCAGGAGGTAAGCAGTCTTCTGGGCTCTGTAGCATCTCTGGGCCCCAGAACCTCTGGGGGGGGGGCTAGGGACCCCAAGCACCCCAAACACTATTTTAATTTTTTTTAGAAATAATGTAATACTTGCCTAATGAAGGTGTCCTCATCTCTTCATCAAGAAATACAATTAAAAATACAATAAAATAAAAAATAACTTAGTAAACCAGAAAAAAAACCTGAAAAAAAAATAGAAGCAAAAAAAGCATATACTTTAATCTTACAAACTCTACTAGAAATTATTGTAATGGATTATTACGGTTTTATATGTCTATATTTATATTTTTATTTAATAAAACATTTAAAAAGACAAAACGTTATTGCTTCCAAGACAATTCCTATTTTTATTGTATTCTCAATTTTTTTATATATTTTAAATAGAGGAACTGTTACTAACTATATACTATTATAGCTAAGATATCTGTATGTTTAACCCTACTAAATTCTATGCTTTTATACATTGTAGTGGTAAATAGGGGAACCAGCAGCGGTTACATTCACATATATGAATGATGAATTGTTGGCTAATTAAAGTGTTACCAGTAAATTGCAATATGTACACATAAAATGTATGTAGAATATATTAAATCTTGAAAAAAACATATGCACGATAGGTCATCAGGCATTCAAATATCTGCAAATTACATGGATGCCTCAGTAAATTTAATTTCATAACTTTTTTAAAAAAGGACAGGGCAAGTCTTTGTTTTTTTTTTTTTTTTAAGATTTGTCTTCCAAAGACAAGGTAAGAAAGGAAGAAACACAGACTGTGGATAGAAAAGCTCATGTGAGTCCCCACAACTTTCCAGGAAAAACCTAGAATGTCAAATGTCAGACTGACAAATATAATCACACCATAAAGTAAATAAATTAGAGGAAAATATATTATCCAAGGACTTTTACCCAGCAGAAACTGTGATGCTTCTTAGTATTGGGACAAAATTTTACTTTAAACTATAACCCTTAGAGGTTAATTTAAATCCTCTTATAGATGGTATTGATCCAACTTTGTTTTTTTCCCTAAGGGATGCTTATTTTAAAAGTATAAATACTTTTCTACAACCAAACAGGGATTCTCCCATAGGGACTTTTATTGATCTAGTCAATAAGATATACAAAAGATCAATAAGGAAGGCCCTAGTTGATCAATAGAAAGTTGACTTGCTATACTTGTGTATTTTTGTTTTTAACAAACCTAATTTTATTCAGCTGCAAAGTGTAAATATGTGATTGAGCAGTAGACTCATTTCTTAAGTTGACTATTACACATCATTTTAAATATGCTGTTAGCCTGTCAAGTCACATAGGCAGACAATGTAATAGAGCAGCAGGAAATGCTAGCAGAATGCTTGGTTGTATAGGGAGAGGTATTAGCAGTAGAAAGAGGGAAGTGCTCATGCCATTGTATAGAACACTGGTGAGACCTCACTTGGAGTATTGTACACAGTACTGGAGACCGTATCTTCAGAAGGATATTGATACCTTAGAGAGGGTTCAGAGAAGGGCTACTAAACTGGTTCATGGATTGCGGATAAAACTTACCAGGAAAGGTTAAAGGATCTTAACATGTATAGCTTGGAGGAAAGACGAGACAGGGGGGATATGATAGAAACATTTAAATACATAAAGGGAATCAACACAGTAAAAGAGGAGACTATATTTAAAAGAAGAAAAACTACCACAACAAGAGGACATAGTCTTAAATTAGAGGGACAAAGGTTTAAAATAATATCAGGAAGTATTACTTTACTGAGAGGGTAGTGGATGTATGGCATAGCCTTCCAGCTGAAGTGGTAGAGGTTAACACAGTAAAGGAGTTTAAGCATGCAGTGGATAGGCATAAGGCTATCCTAACTATAAGATAAGGCCAGGGACTAATGAAAGTATTTAGAAAATTGGGCAGACTAGATGGGCCGAATGGTTCTTATCTGCCGTCACATTCTATGTTTCAATGTTTCTATGTTTAAGTAAGACTTAAAAGGAGAGTGTAGGAAATGTAACAGATTTAACTTATTCAAGTAGTTATATCGTCTGTTATTCCTTGGTGACACCCTTCCATTTAGCGTTACAATCATTTTAATGTTTTAATGCTAAACAAGATTCCACAGCTGCCCATCCCTTCTATATGGTTTGGGAATGAGGAAGCATTAACCTGTGCAGTAATGAGCATTTGTAGCTGGAAGTTTCAGTTTCTTCTGTGAAGACGATGAGATTAGGAAGCAGAGCCTTGGAGAAGTCCTCAAGTTTAAACAGATAATATACTGGAAATAGAGGACATAGAAAGGAATATAGCGTAGTATGTCAAAATTTCAAAATATGGAGACAAAAAGAGTTTGGAGCTACAGCTTAGCTAAACAGTGTTTGGAGCTACAGCATAGCTCCACAGGTAGTGCTTGAGAGGTGCAAGCCCATTGCTGGTATAAATTGGTATGGCTAGAAGGAAGTGTGTAATCTCTGCCTTAGCCATGCCTCCAGTAGGGGCAAGATTGTATATGATCAGGGCCGATTGTTTGGTACTAAACTGCTCAAAAATGGTTACCACTGAATGGATGGAGAGCAACATAAGACTCTGGGTTCTATACACAATAAAATATGAGGATATAATTATAGTACCTACAGTGTCCCTTTAAGTAGAAATATATTTAAGGGTTATGTATCTACAAAGCAAATAATAGTGAAATACACTGCTTTGGGGGAATGATAACTAAATATGCTGGGGGTGCTTAGGGCAGAGCTAATCATTGCATGAAAAGTAGAAAACTTAGATCCAATATTTTAAATGAATAGAGATGTTGATGCATGCACTAAACTGACTGCGATTTGGAAGAAGGAAAAAAAGACAAATTGAAACATTGATGCCTTGACAACATTATCCAAGGCATCACTTTACTGCCTTATTAGTTAGCCAAACCATGCTTTTAAGTTCTCTCAGTAACTTCAATGGAACCTCCTCATACAGAAGCATTATGTAAATGTAATTTCCTTATTTTGTAGAAAAACACGGCCTTATACCAAATTTTACTTTTTTTTTTATTAGTACAAGCTTTATTTTCTTCGGATTTACTATTCTTATGAAATGCATAAATTAATATTTATTTTACACTAAGTGCGGTATGTGTGTTACAAACAGTACATTTTTGTTTTAATATAGTGTTAATATATTTTCATATGCAGCATACATATTATTCATGCAAATATATTCCTGTGATATTTAAATGTATGAATTTTAAAGTGAAAATTAATGTCTGTCCCATGAAATGTAACTGCGTACCTAATGTAAGTGTGTTTTTACAAAAATATATATGATTTGCTTTTATATTTTTATTTTTATTTTAGCACACAAATAACTTCTACCAACCAAGAAAAATGTAGTTTAAATACGCTACTACCAGCAGAATAAAAACTAAAAGTTAAGAATGACTGTGGCACACACAAATAGTAACAAAAATTTACATTTAAATGATCTTACCAATGTGATTTTGTTGATTCAAAATAGGGATGAATATTTCAATTGCAATGATTCAAATATTTAAATAGAGTCAAATATTTATATAGAGTCAATATAAATTATCTGTATTAATTTGCATTATAAGAGATTTATTATTATCTTTCAGATTTATATCTATGACCTAAAAACAAATAAAAACATGGAATCCATCGTATCTGGTCTATGCTGGTAGGACTGTGGGGGAAGTGCTACTTATTTTTTACCATATGTGAATACAGTAAGAGTAGGATTAACCATAAATTGACCTTAGCCAGACACCTAGAGAAGGCAAATTGATATGCAAGTACACAGCCCTATGTACACAGGTCAGTATACTTCCATAACAATCTGCTCTCATACACAATGACGTGAAGATTTGTAGGCCAAATGAGAGTGAAAAAAAAACCCAACAAATTTATTCAATAACATAAAGTGGTTATATGTGGGTATTCAAACTGACATGCGAACAATTGTCTTTATGCATTAGTGTTACAGACCTCGCATACATTTTTTGTGGCTAATTTTCAATTGCAGACCTTCCCCTGCCTTCAATAACGCTTTAAAAAATAAAGCGTCACCTCAAAAATTATAACTTACATTTTAATTCTATTAAATTATTATGAAACTATATTTATATTTAAAAGTAAATACATCTACCTTCAATGTTTTGGTGATTTTTTTAAGCACGCTGTAATAACTTTTTATCCTGTAATAACATTCAAATACCAAATCTTTCTGAGGAATAGATGCCATAATTTTCTTAGCTGATCGATATGCAGGGTCTAGCCTGATGCTGGAACATGATCTTAATACTACTGTGTTTTCATATCAAGACAAAAGGACAGTTTAAAAGAATTTAAGTTTAAAAGGGGTAAATAACCAGGAGATGGATGAGCTATCTGCCCTGGTTCATGAGACGACAGCATCGGTAGGGAGGGTCTGGAGCCCCTGGGGCAATGTGTAGCGCCGGCGAGGGGTGGGAGAGCGGACAGAGGAGAGCTCCTGGCTCCTCGGACCCTTCTTGACGCAAATTTTTTGAGCACGGCCCCACATAATAGACACGCCTCCTACATGCACGCTGATAGATTATACGCACTTAGTACAGGGGAGATGTTACACTGACATATAGAGACCCACATACCCCTTTTTCCCTTTTTTTTTTTTTGTTCTCTTTCTTCTCTCTCTCTTTTATTCTGGCTATGTCTAGGCGAGGATAGGCCTTATATCCCATGTTAGCTCCAGTTGAGCTTTCCCCTTATGGTTCAGACACGATAAGTCTCCGATGACCTCAATCTCCAGTTACGACACTGACTTAGGCCATAGGCTGTACAGGCCCAGAGGCACAGCTCAAAACTTTTACTGCACCCACTCCCTCTAGAGGTGACGAGACAGTCGCCTCCCCCGACGGTCCATTCAAGCGCAGTGAGACTACAGATTCGGGGGACAGGGATAGCCTGGGAAAGAGGTCCCCGGGATGATACTGTACATTTTATAATGTTGCTTCCCCTTTCCCTATTTTCTTTTTTCTGTACCCCATATACAACGCTAAAATTCTCAAAATAAAGAATTTATAAAAAAAAAAGGGGTAAATAAGTGGGGCGGAGCTTGCTAGCAAAGCTGAGTGGACGCCATTTCCCTCAGCTCCCGTCGACTCTGGGCTAATTTACTAAAAATCTAAAAATCACCTGTTATAGTGGCCATCCAGCATGGACTGCCTTCACCCTCGCTGCTAGAGGAGCTCCTGTATCTGTCAGTGCCTTTCTTTCAGGCACTGAAAGCAGTAAGGCCAAGGCGCAAGTGTGGGTCCCACAAAACACTGGTCTTTCCTGACTTGGACTGCTTCCTTGGCGGGCCGATCGGTGAGGGTGCCGTGCCGCAAATCCTGCACCTAGGCCCCAGGAACCGACCACATTTTCTACACAGACCATGGGGCGGAAGACACGGAAGCCCGCACCTGGAGCTGTGCCGGACTCCAGAGATATAGGCACCATGCTACAGAGGCAGTCCGCACCCAAGATGGCGGCCAAGCAGAACATGAGCACACCAGCACCCCCTGGATGACGGGGGGACATTCACCCCTAGTGACAGCCTGACAGTAACTAACCAGCTGGAAGCACTTGCAGGCAATCTTGCCACAAAACCAAAAAGAGGACCTTCAGACACTCCTGTGTGATATCCAGAAGCTGTGGGCAACTGATCTGGCAGTGATAAGGACAGAAGTCCAGCAAGTCACATACAGAGTGAAGGCCACAGAGGAAGATGTGATGGACCTGCATACAGAGGTACATAACATGAAGGCATCGTTCCATACATTCCAAACAGCACAACAGGCACACACCACCCAACCTTCAGCCCTTAAAGATCGCCGTAGGTGTAACCACATTAAAATAAGGGGAGTCCCCACCAGAATCATGGCGGACGAACTGCCACATTATCTTCACAGCCTCGTGGCAACTATGTTATCCTCCCAAGTGGCAAAGAAATTCAGCATTGATGGGGCTTACAGACTGTGTGGAGTACCTGAACTACCCACAACCTCCCCATGTGACCTCATCATGCACCCCACCACCTTCCAGGACAAAGGGCACCTTTTAGCCGCACTGAGGGGCAAAACGCCTTATACGTTCGAAGACTCACAACTTTTTGTATACCAAGACCTGACCAAAGCCACCCTACAATGGCGTAGGTCTCTCCGTCACGTTACAACAAAGCTGTGCTCAGCAGACATCAGCTACAGATGGAGTACACCCAGATCCTTGCTGGCAACCCACCAGGACAGTACACACAGAATTGGCTTAGCGGCAGAGGCCGCAACATTCCTGGTGACAATAGGCCTATCTGAGTCACCCTCCGAAGTGAGCCACCAAAAATCACCCCACATCTGGGATCTGACCAATGTGGAGCCCTTTGTTCCAAGATGACATGCTCCTTCGACCACCTGACTACACTTGCTAAATGTAGTGTTGCTAACCACTGTGCAGTTAAATGTTCACGGTTCTGTTTACACTTTTTTTTTTGTTCTTCTTATTTCTTTTCCCTACCTCTTCTTGCACAACTGTGACCTGGTTTTATACTAACCCTGTAAGCTTGAAATTTGCTCTGAACCAATCTCATGGTTATGGGCCCATAAGGAAATGGATGTGGGGGAGACACAAATGGCCTTCCACACTAGTCCCTTTATTGCTGGCAAGCAACTACCTATCCATGCCACCGCTCCCTAGGTTAGAAGCAATCTAACAGCTGATACATACCCACCCCCTACTGTTCTGGCCCTGGCTCTCAGCACAACACCAGTAGGACCACCACATTAGTTTACAGTATCAAGCTGTTATTCTCCCTCCCCCTTCCTGGGGAATCTCTACATGGTAATTATCACAAGAATAGTACTCTCCCCGAGACACATATATACTCTCGAGCTACTAGCAAGTAACTCCGTTAGATCATAGGTACTATATGTTTGTTTCCCTCCCGATTACATTCAAAAATGTGCTGAATGTATGACATGTCCTGATATGATGTGATACTCCTGTCATGTTTCACACTATGCTGAAGAGCATTCATTGTTATATTGTACCGCCAGCACAAGAAAAATAAAGAATAATAAAAAAGTGAAAAAAAAGTGTAAAGACACAAAGATTAAAGTCGATTCATAGTGGCGAGGCCTGACTGCCATGCTGAATGGTCACATGAAAGAACAGCTCCTGAAACATCTTGACTTATCAGCCTACCAAAGCTAATCTTGTACCAACCTAACGACTGGAAACGGTGGTCCTATACCCAAGGGAGTATTGGCCCGAGGTGAGGCTTACACAATGTGTTTTAATCTTTGGAGAGACATACTTCTTTCACCCAGATGAGGCCTGCTCAGGCGGTGAGTGGAGTGGACGGCCGCTACCCCACTATCCTGCCAGAGTGTGCCATGCTGGACTCCCGAAACTACTTACACCTGGCCCAGTTTCCCCCACTCTGGAATGGTGGGGGGTGATCCAGGTTCACACCCTGCAGCACCTACTGCTACCGCAACTCAGAAGCCCCTCAGCACCATCGTCCTGCAACACAGACCTGGAGTCTACAACAAAATGGCGGAAGTCGCGCACCCAACAGCTTTCTCCAGAGAGTACTTTGTTCTTCCCTCCTCATGAGACACAAGATTAACAAATTTAGAGCAGGAGAGGCTGAAGCACACATTTCAATCCCCCTGGGAGATGCTGGCAAACAGACAAATCGCGGACCTTTCGCTCCCCGCTGCCCACACTCCTCAAATACTCACACTGCAGATGGACCAGAGAGGTGAAGACTGAACATGCTCAGCCAGAAAATGATTGGAACACTTGCATCAGACCGGCCTGGTGGTGTTCAGGGGACAGACGACATACGGCCCAGACACAAAACAACCGAAGGGACGCATGAAACAAAGACTCAGCAGGCTACCTCATTGCAGCAACAAGATGCTTAAGCTTTCCTATGGGATAAACAGCCTGCAGACCTCTTCATCACAGCTGAGCCATGATTTACTCCAGAGGTGCATAGGCTGAAAGGGAACTGAGACTTATGCACATGCACACCTATTCCCAGATGCATACATGCTGCCTGGTGTTACTTTATTTTTATTTTCGCTAAGTTTCTGTTCCTATTTTAAGCCAACTCTTCTGACTCCTAGGTTGCACTTCATTTGAGCGCAAGGGGCCTTGATCTCCCCAATAGGGGTCTTGTAATCCAATTAAGTGGTGGGGGTTTGGGAGGAAGTGTGTGTTAATGCTATTTGAAAGATCCTCAATCCAGTTTGTTAGCAAGTTTACCTAAATTAATACTTCTTCGCATCTCCATGTCTGACTAGTTGCACAAGCTATTAAACTATTATAAGCCAGTGTAGTTAAATACAATATGCTTGCTTGTATTATTATTAATACTATTATTGCGATTTATATAGCGCCAACAGATTCTATAGCGCTTTACAATATTATGAGAGGGGAGATTTAACTATAAATAGGACAATTACAAGAAAACATACAGGAACGATAGGTTGAAGAGGACCCTGCTCAAACGAGATTACAGTCTATAGGAGGTGGGGTATAAAACAAATTAGGACTGCAACCTTCTCATTTCTCATAGTTAGACATGACTGCTTAGCATGATCTTACATTCATAAAAATGTGCAGTTACTCTAAACGACATGTCAATATAATATGACGTTTGCTACTATAATGTTTGAGCTGTTGTGGCCATGCCCGCTTATATGATATCTTATGCACAACAAAAATAAAGAATTATAAAAAAATTTTCAAAGTTCAATTATTATTTTGATACATTTTGTTAAACTAACATAAGATGATCAATTTATGCATTGCAATATATATCGTTCTGAAAATATTGTTTTGGCCTTGATTAAAAGTAACTCTACAGTTACTAAAACAACTTTAACAAAAGGAAGCAGTTTTAGTGTATTGATCGTGCATCTGAAGTCTCATTGTTCAATTCTCTGCCATTTAGGACAGCGTCTATTATAAACCCTGTTTACCACTGACAGCACCTTCAAAGGGGACATGAGCATCAGAACTGTACCATAAAGCAATAGAAGAAGGTTGCTTGGTCTGATGAATTGCATTTTCTCGTAGATAATGTGGATGACCGGATGCATGTGCATTGTTTACCTGGGAAAGAGATAGCAGCAGGATGCACTATTGGTAAGAACGCAGGCCGGCTGAGGCAGTGTTATGCTCTTTTCAGAGGCGTAGCGTGGGGTGTGCAGGGGGGGCTGGCCGCACCGTGCGCAACATCTGGGGGGGCGCGCTCAGGGCCGGCCTCCCCATGCTGCAGCCGCCCGAGCGCTCTGTAGAGTGTGCACTTCCTGTTAGTTCGGCCGGGTACAGGAAACAAAAGCAACCTGTACCCGCGGACCATCATGCTGCAGGGCTCGGCCACGCTACAACAAAGGTGGGGGGGAGGAGAAAGAAATTGGGAGGGAAGGGGGGAGAAGAAATGGGGAGGGTGGGAGAAGAAATTGTCAGTGGAGGGGGTAAGAAGAAATTGGGATGGGAGGGGGGAGAAGAAATTGTCAGGGAGGGGGTAAGAAGAAATCGTAGAGGGTAAATGGGGGAGAAGAAATTGTGAGGGGGAGGTGGGAGAAGAAATTGTGAGGTAAAAGAAGAAATTGGGAGGGGAGGAGGGGCAAGAAGAAATTGTGAGGGGAGAAGAAATTGGCAGGGGAGAAGAAGAAATTGGCAGGAGGGGAGAAGAAACTGGGAGGGAGGGGAGAAAGCTGTAAACAGGGAGGGGAGAAGAAACGGGAGGGGAAAAGTAGAAGAAATTGTAAGGAGGGGGGGAGAATAAATGGGAGGTGGACAAAGAGCCCGGGAGGGGAGAAGAAATGGGGAGGGTGTAAAAGAATTGGGGCAGGGGAGGGGGCAGAAGAAGAATTGGTAGGGGAGGGGGGAGAAGAAATGGGGAGGGGGAGAAGAAGAAATGGGGAGGGGAGGGGAGAGAAGAAGAAATTGGTAGGGGGGAGA